AAAGATGAAATTGCAATAATCTGTGTTTTTAGTTAGGATAAGCCAACAAACGAGATAATCCTATTAGCGAAGGATGATCCGTTAAAGTTTTCTCCTTGACTACAGCCCAGGTGAAAGTAGAAGTCTATCAGAAAATAATAGAATAAATGCTCATTTATATTAGTCCTCCCTGGTTTTATTTGTTGTCATGTTTTTTTATTGCTTATTTAAAAGGATTTTTCGGACAAATTTGTTAACAGGATTATCCTAACATAACAGAGAATTGATAGCCCCATTGTAAACATTTCATTTTCTAGCAGGTAAATTAATATGATTTCAAGATAAATATAATCATGACCATAATAATAGGATAACAGATTACCATTGAAGGCGGTGGATACACTTCACAGTAGCAGCGAGAACAAGTGCACCAAAGAATTTCAGCTCATACTGCATTCAGTTTTTCACCTTTGAACTTAATTCATTTTCAAAAGTATTTAAGAGATTTTACTCATATTGCGGAGTAATTCTGTGAAGATGACGTCTTGACCTAATTGACATCAATATTTCATGATATACGAAACTGCTGAGCTGGCTAACACTGTAAACTACTAAATTCATTATTTTTAGTGCTCTGATTGACGGAATTACTTCTTTCAATTAATTAATCTTTTCATGTAAGGTTTTGGCTGAGATAAAAAAGTCAGTGTCACGAGCGGGGGATTCGAACCCACGACCTTCGGCTTGATACGCCGCTGCTCTACCACTTGCACTTGGGTTATCTTGACTTCGATCCTCCCGGACACCAACTTCCCGTCTCAACCGAACCTTTCGAATTTTCTCTCCTTTTTGCCATTTTTCAAATTTCGTTGTATTTAGCCGAAAGTCGTGGGTTCGAATTCCGCTCGTGGCACTGACTTTTTCATTTCAACCAAAAGATGTAAACTACATTCCTAATAGTTAATAAGAGATCTATGTTTTGTTGTTTAAAAATGTTACTTTCGTTAAATCATTTCATTAAAATAACTAAATAAATTAATGATTATTCAGAAATCGTGAGATGCGGTCTGGTGTGATGTAGGTTTCAGAAAAAACATTTTCTTTATCGCGCCAACGTTTCGAACTTTATTGAGATCATCTTCAGGGCCTGGGATTTACAAACATTGTTTAAATTTAACAAATACATGTAGTTTGTGGAAAAAAGAGAATTTATACAATGCAAAATATATTTTTTATATTCAATCAAATTCACTGTAATTTTCTGAATAATCATCAACTAACGGTCATTAATCACCACACTAAATAAATTAACTTTCAAAGGTCATTGTTATTTTTCTATTTTAAAGATATGTCCAGGAGGTGTAGAAAAATTCCAAGTTCCAAAAATAATCATTTTACTTAAGTGTAATACTTCTCATATTTAAATTGAAATTATTGTCACAATTGGAATTTTATAAGGATTTATACAAGATGATGCACGTCAATTTTTAACTTCTTATTTTCAGTTTTTGTACATCTGGATTTGTCCTACTCAGAACTTCCTGGAACGGAATCGTCTACACATTCTTTCCTAGTTGCAACCGGAAACTGACAACTAAGTAGCTGCAAAGACAGGCTGGACTGAATTTCGGATTAAACTGACATTCGTTTCAAACATATTTTAACTATTGAATTGATATATTTCACGCAAACTATTCAGAAATTGTGAGATGCGGTCTGGTGTGATGTAGGTTTCAGAAAAACATTTTCTTTATCGCGCCAACGTTTCGAACTTTATTGAGATCATCTTCAGGGCCTGGGATTTACAAACATTGTTTACATTTAACAAATACATGTAGGATGTGGAAAAAAGTGAATTTATACAATGCAAATTATATTTTTTTATATATTATATATTCACGCAAACATTGACATTTTTACATTGTTTATTAGCCTCGTGTGGCGGGGTAATTTTGTGATGACTGTGTTAAAGACAATGTTAAATGACATTGTTTGACGTGATTTATTCCTTTCCGATGTTCCTATCCTAATCTATTTGGAGTCATATTAACGTAAATATTTCATATCCTCGCTGGAAACATGATGTAAATTAGAATATATCTACAGGGTGTCCTTTTTAGATGGCCCGGCTGAATTTCTCTTGAACCAATGAAGCTATCAAAATAAAACGTGTTTAATATTTTTTAATCAAGTTTCAGATTTTCACCTTATTTTGGTGAAAAGTTATACAGGGTACCTCAGGCCCAGTTCGATTTCAAAATTTCAAATACGACGCTATACACCCATTCATTGTAAAGGATTTTTTACGTTGACATCAATGGTGCAATCGGATTCTAAATTGGTCAAAAAATAACAAAGTTATGGCAAAAAGTTTGAAGAATCGAATTTTGTTTGTTTCGTTGTTAATTCCAATAATTTGCTTCTTCACTAAAGTAAACATTAACTGCTTTATTGTTTACATTCTGTCATTGTTTGTCAACCTCGCATTTTGATAGCAGGTTTTAATTCCAGGAATAAATAAATTTTTACAATAGTACCTATTCGTTACATTCACTATCCATTCAAAATGAACTGAAGATCACATCTTTCCGATTAACAGCGAGTTGATATGTACGACAGTTTTATCAATAGTAGTGGATTGCGCGTCGTGCAGTCGAATTGGCTCGCAGAAATTTCCTGATCGCCCCAGAGTAAACCATAAAACTTTTATTCGTGTTGCTGGCAATACGAGGAGGTACGGATGAGTTGCTGTTCCATCACCAACGAACCGGCAGCGTAATTTCGACTAGGAATATTTTACTGTATGTTTATTTGGAAATCGTAAGATGCGGTCTGTGTGACGTAGGTTTTAGAAAAATATTTTGTGTATCGTGCAAACGTTTCGATCTTTATTGAGATCATCTTCAGAGCCTGGGTACCTACGTCACACCAGACAGCATTTCACGATTTCCAAATAATCATTAACTCACAGTCACTAAACACCACACATTTTACTGTATGTTGGCTAAAATCCGAATTCCTATCCCCGAATGTTGGAAGGTGTTTTTTTTTTGCAAGAAATAAAGTTACAGATGTACTTCGGACTTACAATTTTAATAGAAATGACAATTTTAAGCCGTATCTCATCTTGTCCAGGGACTTCGGGCCTCTGATTATGACAGGCGTTTAATGTTCCTTGCGCAAATGTCGATTTGGGAGGCTGGAGAAAACATTCGTCCATACATTCTATGGACTGATGGATCCAAGTTCACCTCTAATTGCATACTAAACCGTTAGGCAGAAGAAAATCCGAGAATCAACGTTTGGTGTGAACTTCTCGGAAATAAATTAATTGGGCATTATTTTTACGAAAATAATTTAAATGGGTGCTCTGTCCTCAATTTTTTGAGGAAGGTTCTGCCAAACTATTAGATGATGTTCCTCTGCAACTACGACAAAGAATGATTCTCCAGCTTGATGGATGCCCCGCACACAATTCTTTGCAGGTGAGACGTTATTTCAATCTTCACTTCCGAGATAGGTGGATAGGACTTCATGGCCCGATCTGTTGGCTTTCTAGGTCACCCGATTTAACTCCACTTGACTATTTTCTGTGGGGCCATTTAAAAAACGGTACCCGCGCCAATCATAACCCAGCAACCTTAATTGAAGAACTGTGGCAAAGGATAGAACATGCTTGTCAATCCATCTCCATTGACTATCGCTCTGAGCACCGGTGAAGAGAGGTTAAAAACAGCAAACCATTTCATCTTTACGCAAGGCAGGCAGCATGAACATGAAATAAATAGCAAACCAAATGATTGTCTTCTTTTCCAAACTTTTTGCCATAACTGTTCTTTAAAATTATAAATCAGTATGTATAAGGTCTATTTGATATTTTGAAGTTGAACTGGGACTGAGGTACCTTGTATAATTTTTCCCCAAAATAAGTTAAAAATTTGAAACTAGACTAAAAAATATTAAACACTTTTTTTTATAGTCATTGGTTCAAGAGAAATGTACCTAGGTCATCTAAAAAGGACACCTAAACATTTTTCGTTCAGTATTGTTTAAATTTTTATTACAATTTGAATGAAGATTAAAATCTAAGGGGATTAACCTCAAGTGGCAGGGAAATCCTGACAATATGACGTATCATAAAAGTAAGACAACTTCTCCAGAAAATTTTACATGGCATTTATTTCATATATTTGACGAGATGCGACCCAAACCGATTTCCATTGAAGATAGTGACCGGCGATAATGCTGCTAGTAGGGAAGACAAGAGGACATACGACACTATTTATCCTTTAACGCATTATTTTCGTATTTTATATACATCTTTGGATTTATCTTCCTTTGAAGATGGTTTATGATAATGGATTATCAGACTGAAAAGAAATCCTTCAAACACATTTAGTGGATTAGCATCATATAATCCTATATCCTTAATCTCTTCGCTCGCAACCTGATTGGGATGTTCAAATTTTTCATTTTAACATAATTTTTTTAAATTAAAATTGCATTACAATTCTAGATTATATAGTTTAGACGTACGTATGTGGTAACTGCATGGTTAATTGGTGCAGTATGATCGAAAGCTTTTTTTCGAAGGTCAATGTGATCAAGTTTTGTTGTCATTGTTTTGATTTGATCTTCATTCAGGCCTTCCATCACTCCATAGGTATTGACATGATCGATTTCCTTGCTTAATCCTCTAAGTTCTGAGAGACCGCACCACTCGAGGCACCACCGGCCGGAGATTCGTGCGCTTAGCCTGATTTTTCGATAGGAGGGTTTAAAGGGGATTTGAACGTCTCCGCCGGCTTTGGCTTTGGAGAGGCTGATCCTCGGGAGGCCGGGCCACGCCCTCCTCCGCCTTGGATTAGCCGTGGGGCGGTGGTGGTGACATGCGTGGTTCCGCCCCCCGAACCGACCATGCGCCTCGGTTCCCGGGGGGTGGAAATCCGGGCTTCCACCACCACCGGCGAAGAACGCCACCACCACCACCACCTTCGCCGCGGCCTGGCCCCCCCAAAGCAGGCCGGCTCTCAGTATCGTATCGCCTCTCGAGCTCACTCCGTGTTTCTGTTCGAACGATGCCTCAGTTCTGAACATTCTTAGATTTACGACGATGGACTTTCAGAGTGCTATGGAAACTTTCGCCGAGGCTTGGGTCGCTGCTAACATCAAACCGGAAATCAACCAAAACGGACCGCAGGTATGTTTAAAACCCTTGCCCACTTCATAAACTCAACATAAAACAACGGAAAAATAACACATGCAAATCACTGATTTAATATTATAACCATTAATCTTGCAACGATAAAAAGATTCAAAACTCCAACAATTAAAATATTAATAACAAAACTTCTAAAAATTTGTCTGATATAAATTAAACAAACATATTTTTTACCACCCTCCCTCAAAATATCATTAAATAATATCACATATGACATATTTCTGACAACTCCCCTATTTGCACCAGAATATCTAAAACTGACACAATTTTGTACAGCTCTAATTTTTTTCACAATCTCAAGCCGCCAACACAATGGACTTCAGCTTTTAAAAAACTAAGTTTAGTGGCTTATTATAAGCTAAATGGAAATATTAAACGTGTCGTCAAACTTAAATTTATGGAAAAAGTCTTATATTTTTCGCGAATCACTTTGCTAAAAAACCACAGTAATTAACAAACCTAACGTCATTAACTATAAAATTTAAAAAAAATACGAATTCAAAGTAAAAATGGCCAAGGAAAAAATCGAATCACCTTACAACAGTTAACTTCACGCGTTGTTCCCTAGTTTATTAATATTTAATTAAATAACGAAAAAATAACACATGAAACCCACTGATTTGATATTATAACCATTAATCATGCAAAAATATCTCTATAAAAAGATTTAACACTCCAACAATTAAAATATTAATAACAAAACTTCTAGGAATTAGTATGATATACATTAAACAAGCATATTTTTTTATCACCCTCCCTCAAAAAAACATTAAATAGTATCACATATGACACGTTTCTGACAACCCCATTCTCCCAACTGTCACAATTTTGTATACATCTAATTTTTTTTCACAATCTCAAGCAACCACCCCACACAATGACTTAAGCTTTTAAAAACTAAGTTTATTGGCTTATTACAAGCTAAACGGAAACATTTAATTCTGTCGGGGCGTGAACGTTTAAACATATACAATTAAAAAAATACGAATTCAGAGTAAAAATGGCCTAGGAAAAAAAAAAGCGAATCACTTTACGACAATTAACTTCATGCACTGTTCCCTAGTTTATTAATATTTCATTAGTTATCTCAAGTCGACAGTGAAGCAGATCAGGTGTTTTCTCGAAGAAAACCATAAAGAAAAAGGAAAACAAGACTGGTTGCACTAGGTGAAAAGCGTTCCAAGAAAAACGACGTAATCCTAACATCAATTTTATTTTTTGAAACTATTGTTTTTTCCTATACATTTTTTCACCGCATACTGACAATGTGGATAATTTTTTACAATTTACTCCCCTTAAAAAACAGTATTAACGGAATTGAGTAACCTTTTTGGGCAAATTTTAGGTCTGCAGGTGGTTCCAACGGGTCGTGTAACCTTCTTTAAATTTAATTACACAATAATTATTTATACATAAAATTTAATTAAACGATATTGTGTAGAGATTGTTGTTATTAAGTCTAATTAGAAGGGTGCAGTTTTGTTATTTGTAGTGACGTTTGATTTTCTTTTTATTTCAGAAAAACGTTTTTGAGAAAAAATCTAGCATGAATATGATGAAACATCTCTATAAAAAAAACTGTTCACTTTGTCTTAATTTAAAAAAACCTAAACAATAATTAATCCCCAACGGTAAGCAAGAGGGGTAAAAAATTTAACTGTATTATTATAGTATCGGAAGTGTGATAATGGAGATCAGAGCATAGCTATTTTTAAAAAATCTTTCATTTGCGTGCGTGTCCCATAGAAGTTTGTATATTTTCAGGTTCGCAGGCTCCGAAAAGCACAGATTTGTCTAAAGAATCGGTATATATTGCGTAAAATGCGTAGAGTTAATTATATCTTACGTAATTATTTTTAATATGTAGCGAGAATTGTTCTTAACTTCTTATTTAACTCAAATTTTTCAAGCGTAGAAATGTAGTGAAATTTGATGTAGGATTTAGGTGATTTCGAGTTAGGTGATATGTAATTGGAAAATTTTTGAACCAAATCTTAATTTCCACTCAATATGGTTGATTTTGTTTTCTGTGTTACTTGGCCTAATAAATCTTGTTAGAAGTAAATGCTAAGCGGGATACTTTCATCCAGGTAATTTTTATTGTGTGATCACTTATGTTAACGCGTGAGTTTAGCTGATTCACTCGATGTTGTGGGATGAGTGAGGACAGTTTGATAAGCAATCAGCGGCGTAAAACTGGTTTTATGATTTTCTGGCAAAAAAGAAGCCATTATCAACAACTCCTGATAGCATAATTGAAGCATACGAGCAAAAAAACTATGAATGATCTGGATCACGGTACGGTCTTGAAGCAAAAGCAAATTGAGTAACATAACTATATACATATTGTAAGGTCAACATCAAGGCCAAACAATATTAAATATGTCTTCAAATTAACATAAGTTTAACATAAACGATTTCAAATTTCTTTGAGACCAAACTGTTCAGTTCCTGGCCATATTGTTGTTTTGGCCTGATGATGACTTTGAACTAGGTCGAAATCTAGGCAGTTAAAATTGAATTTGCTTTTTCATCAAGACAAAACCGTGATAGATTATTCGTGAGTAAAAAACTGGTCGATACATCTAACACTTTAAACATGAATTGTAACAGAAGACTGTCGTAAATCGGATAATTCGGCGATCAGTGAGACACCGGGCATTGCTAGAATCGTAGACGACTGGATTTTACCGTCATTCCAAAACGCAATTCTAATTTTCACCATTTTGGCAGGACAATTTGCAAAGATTAGATTATTAGTCGATAATAGATTTATTATTAAATTTCCTGGATTCCTCGAGATTAGTTTTCCAGCCAGATGATTCATCTTAGGTCAACTACACGATGTTTCATGTCAATGGAGAGATGCTTTACACTAAGTGATTTGATACTAAGGTTAATATTTATTAAATTTAATATAATTGTACAGAAAGTCTTTAATTATCTTACAATTTTGACCGATATCGAGGTAAATGTTTTGAAGAAAATTACAAAGTTTTTATGAAATGAAGTGTGAAACTTTTATTTCGAATGTTGGCTTGACAAGTTTTATGACTCGTGGTGTTATCACTTCCGGGACAGCCGAACCTCGGCATTTGTAGTTCCGATGTCCTAAAGATCCTAAGAGAAAAACAGCCCTAAGACGCCAAAAAACAAGCGTCTCTTCTCAAAGTAGGAACGCATTTTGTGGGTATCTTTTCTCGAAACTATTGTTATATATATAAGGCAGCTGCGGGCACAAATTGCAAAAAGACTTTTCATTACAATCCCGTTTGCACTTCTCCTTGAATTTCATCAGTGACTCGTTTTTTTACGAGGGCTGTGTGACCAGATCCGATAAGAAATTTATGTTAATATATTCAAATTTAAAAACATAAAAAAACTATTAATTTCATATTTAAGAATTTATATTATCGACAGAAAATTGTGTTTCGCGAATCACAAGATCCAACCGACTGATAAACTGATGATCTGAAAACTTAGGATACGCCTAAACAAAACATATTTCGTTTGTTTTTAATTTTATATTTTATTGTTGTTGTTGTTTCGTTTTTTTAAAATACCAAATATGGACTATTTTAAAAATTTATATTAAAAAAGAAAAAAGATCTGGACTTTCCTTGATAAAAGTGATCATAATGCACTATGTCATCTCAATCAACTCTGGCTATCGGTTATCATAATAGATTCTTGTCTTTCTGCCGATCAGGCATTTCCGTCTTTTTTATTGCAAATGTAAAGTTTTCATTGCCTCGTCTACTCTCAATGTGCTATTTGCAGTCGGAACGTATTTGGCCATGATCCTACAGATGGGAGGGTGCTGTTAATGAGGAGGCGGCACTCACTAAAATGCCATACGATTTAGATAACACTGATAGTTGCCATGGGGCTTATTCAAAAGTTTAATAAGCTTTGCACAAATCTAAACGAGGAAAATAAATTCAAAGGATATGTAAGAATTCTACGTCTCACCTCAAGTTCATTTTAAAACCGGTTTAATTATAATTTGATATCATCCTTCAGCTAATGAAATTCAATCGTTGAACGATATACTTCAACGGAAGAAATTATATTTTTGTCACGATATTTTCATTTTATGTTCTTGTTCTGTTTGATGTAACGCCTATTTTGATTTTGTCGTTATTATTTTTTTTGTACAACTTTTGGTGAAAGGAGTGCGAAGAACGCCGGAAGGACGACAGGTGGCAGGAAATAAGCCCAACAGAAATTGTCATAGTATACGAACATCTAATTGATTGTCAGGATTTTTTTTTATTATTATCAAGTCGTAATTACGGTTAGATTGACTCCGCGTGACGGGATCATCCGAGTAAAAATATTTTTTCTTCCCTCTCTTTTAACCGGCCTCCCGTTAAAAAATTAGACACAAGGCTAATTATTCTAAACCGTTCCAAGAATTATTTTTGATTTGGAAAAGAGACGGGGAACGGAATCCACGAGGCGGGGGGATACGGTAATCCTACGTTATCCGATTAATATAAGCCGTCTGATTCTCCCTTGGCCGGTTATGATCATGGCTATGATTTTAATTAGAGGATTTGCACATTTCTTTTTTCCCCTCCTTCTTCCCGCTCTTCTTGTCTTTTTCTTCCACGGTTTACGTGCAAGGCAACAATCTCGACGATCGAGTCCTTTGATAAACAAAGGGAGCAATTATCGCGTAAGCCAGTTAGAGCCGTAATTTCACTGCAGAATCTTCTGAAAGCCCTTGTGTTTGTTAAAACATGGATCTAATTTTGTCAGAAAAATGATTTACAATTGTTTAGTGATATAAATTCTTTATTTACAAACCTTTTTTTCTAACTCTTTCCAAGCCTAGAATTTACTCCTTTCCACTTTTCAGACCATTAATACCGAGAAATTTAAACAATTAAAAAAAATGTCATAATTAAAACTTATCTTAAAAGTTGAATAGTTTGGAAAATTACTAAATATCGGACATAGAAAACTTATCTTCT